CCCTTAAGTAAAGGAGAGTAAAACCATGAAGTAAAAGCTCTTAAAACGCCCCAAATCAGTTTGAATTTATACAGATAGCACAGTGAGGGACCCCTTCCCCTAAATGTATGCCAAGGCACCTGTGTCAAGCTCTTGACTCTAGATTCTTTCTCTAAGAAAAGAGTAGGTATCAATATCCCATATTCTACACCTGCTTAAGGGCAACATCAATCAGCCACACCACCCTGGAAGTATTTCTTCTACTCAAGGACTATAGAAGTTGTCCAGACAAGGGTATTTCAAATCCATCATCCCTATTTGTTGGGTTGAATCCTACCCCACATGCTTGAGCAGCAAGTAAAAAGAACAAACTGGGGGGGGGGAGGGCCCTTGGGGTTTTTTTTGAATTTTTACCAGAAGAACACAAAATTTCAGATTTATAGTGGAACTTCGACCCACTCAAAATACTCTCAAACTGGGCCTGGTATTCCTTTAATAAATTACTTCGGTATCTCCTGGCAGGCTGGTGGCAAGGCCGTCCTCAAGGCGTGCAAAAAAAAGGAATCCAAGAGCTGTATGGGGAAATCAGAACAAGCAAGTGGAAATGTTACTCTCCAGTTCAATGAGAAATAAAATTCTTCTTTTCCAGGTCTATGGCTCTCACTGCCCTTTCTGTGCAGTGATGCAGTGTTATGAGCAGTGTAAAAGGAAGCCTCATGCAACAGGGTTGATAGAATGCATAGCAAAACTTCTCATGTGGAGTAGCTACCAAATCTATATCTCCCATTTTCTAAACAACCTTTAAATCAGTTTATCAAAAGGACTTGGCACCACATTTTCAGCCCGCTCCTCCTGTTAGAGCATTTGCTCTTGCTATAACATGGGTTGCACTGCCATGGGCAAAATGCACATCCTCCAGCAGAATCAAGTGCTAAGACTGGTGCTCAATCCATACATCCTACATGGCCTCACAAACCTGGCACGGGTGCTAAAAGCTCCATTGGTCTTTTTCATATCTAAATAACTTCACTGGGAAAAACTTAGGCAGCTACATATAGATTGCTGTGCTAGATTTAGAAAAAGAAAGGATTTGTGGACTGCTTCCCTTAGCTTACAGATCTCAGCCTAGATTTTTCTTTAGACACCTACTGCCTTTGACATAGCCAGGCCTAAGGCAACAGTGACAACTTGTTGTCTTGTCACAACAGAAGAGAGACAAATAATTCAGAGTGGGTCTAACAACATAAACAATATATGAGGTTTGCATATAACAGCATAGAAACAGTGTTCTCATCTTGTTTCCTGTTTTCTTCTGATGCATGATTTCATCAACATCATCATGCACAGGGTAATTCTGTTACTATGGTAAACAATTTATCTCTCTCAGTTTATTAATAGTCATTCCAAACAATTAAAAAATTGAATCTACAAATTTAGATTTATGCCTTTGGCAAAGGCAGACTGTTTTGTAGATTAGCGAATATAACCTTCCTACCCAGAAAACCTTGCTATCCAAGGCTTGTGTTATGTTCACACAGATGTTCACAAATAAATTCAGTCTCTTGATTATTTTCAGATTAATGACATCCTGCTCTATTAGAGCATTGCCAAATCATCATTTCATTGCCAGTCTTGCAAGGTTTTGTTCTTTTTTTCTAAAGCTCCAACTCTAAAGGACATGTGATTAGCCAAAATCCCATTTTCCTTTCTAAAGTCTCAAGCAAGCCTTGTTGCAAGCCTGACTCATGTTACCCCAGGAGTTAATCGTCACATTTTCTTAACCACTCTCAAGACTTCTAAGCGTCTGACTCATGATTTCTAATGCCTACAGTTGGCAATAGTGTATATACATGACATGTGTCATACCATCCATCTGCTAGTAAACAAAATCTTTATGACATGTCCAATTAGATGCTACTCACCCTGTTTCTAATAAATCATTTTTTAAAATAATGTTCAAATCTCTGGTGCCAAAGAAGTTATATCATTGCAGTAGTCACTCACAGCAACAGAAAATAAATTCCTCATTAATCTGATTAAAAACAATTAGTAAAATCTACTTCCTACTCAAACCTAAACAAAACTGCTTCAAATTTTTTAACTCAGCAGCCTACAAAACAGAAGGTTGTAAGCCATGAAAAGTCTTACACTAAATATCAACTATGCAAGCATTCCCTGTACTGCTGCCACTGAAATACAGACGTAAGAGGCAACTTGTGAAGGTTTATTTCACCCGAGGATTGTCTCACTGAGTGCTTACCAATGCCCCCAGCCCACCAGTGGAAGACCATGGGCACCTTCTGCATGGGCTGAAGGCGCTTAGTGGAGAGCTGCAGGTTACCTTCGTCCTGCCACTGAGAACAACACCTTCACGAGGCCAGCCACGTGGCAGCAGATTTGTCATACACTGTATTTCTAAGAAGCTGCTGCAAAAAGAAGGCACTTTGCTTATAATGGCTCTTTGCTTATAACACGGGATGGTAGCATTTCTACGTTCAAATTAAAATTGATGGTAAAATTTGACGTTTTGATTACTCATGCTGACATTTAATCAATTTTACACTTTAGAGAAAGGCCCTCATTTACAATGCTTGGCATCAAGTAACAGAGACAAATCAGAAAGCCACATTTAAAACTAACTGGCTCCCCCATAAATACATACAGTAGAACTAATTTCAGGCGTATTTAAATTGTCCATTAATCCAACTAGATATTTACACAATTCAATTCACCTGACTCTTTCATTTCAGCTCTACTTTCAAGTCTACAAATAAAAACCTAATTATATGTAACGCAGATGTGATGACTGTACGTCAGAAGGAATCGGAGACATCTAAACATTTAACATGCAACTTGCTTAGTCTGAGTCAGAACCATTTTCCCCCCCTCCATGAACCTCATAAGCATAGTTTTGAAATTTTCTAGACTACTAGAAATATATAAGCTAAGAAAGAAGTAAAGAACGAAAATACTTCAGACATATTTTTGTTTCAAGGACTTTAATAGTTTAATTATCATATTAGTAATTATTAATAGTGTATAATTAAAGACTAGAAAAATTTTAATAAACTGAACATCTGCTCGACATTAGATATTAGAAGCAAAACCTGCACGCTACTGCTGTGATGGAGGCATCTGCTGTTCATTTTCCAGGCTCTAAACCCATTTATCTCTACATTTCTTGTTATATAAACATACTTTGTTTTCTGGCATCACACTGAAATATCCCCATAAACATATTGTATGATTCAACGCTTTAATACCTGGGTTGCTCTCCCCAGAAGTACATACAATGTCTTGTATTGATAAGAGAAAAAGCCCTTCTCAATCAAAACTTTCTGCCACTTCTAGCAACAAAATGGCAGAGAAATTACTCCATTCCTTAGAAGGCATTTTTAAAGGTCTGTATTAGTGTTAGGATTTATCAATTTGCATCTGAGATTTGTTCATTCTCTTCAAAATATTGCCCAGCTCACATGACAGGAGCAACAACTCTCAGCCGACAGAAGGAACAATGTGTACTTCATTTGCCCTTCACACTTTTTTTTTTTAAAACAGACTTCTTTTCATCTTTGAGCACGAGTTTATAATACACTGATTTTATTCAGCTTGCTATAATCTTTAGCCTTAATGCAAAAAAGTCATCTGCTATATGAGTTGGAAGGGGGAAATACATAATGCATGCAATAGGGAGGATGCATTAAGTTAGATCTTAGTAAGCATCTACATCTGCTACTCAGTCATTGCTGATAACATTTTCCCAAGGCAATATATACTCCAAACTTTGGTTTGGAAGTTGCGACGTGAGGGGTGTTGTCATTGAAGTAAAAGCCATTGAAAATTGAGACAGAAACACCGCACTGTGTTTCTACATCTGACTGTAGAAGTGTAGTACCTGCATTCACTAATTTCACACAGAAAAATGATGCAACTACACAAAAAGCTGAAAATCCCTCCAAATTCACTGTTTCATAAGCAAGTGAAAAAACTGACTATGTAAACGCATCGAGGTTGTACCGATTACAGCCAAATGCACTGCAAATGTAACATGCCATCTAGAACTGTTGTTCCTGGGAACCTCATGACACTATCATGTATTTACATAGAAAACTAAACAGGTAACTTGACTTGTTCATGCAATTGAATGCCATGACCTCATACCACAAAGATACTACAGTACACAGGACAAATATATATATATTTTATGCATTTGGCCTAAGTATGCTTTTGCTGCTGCTATTTGGCATTTTATCCTTGAATTTAGAGAGCAGACTTTGTGCACTCTGAAGCGCAAACTTGCTCTCCAGCTCTATTCATAGGTCAAGAAGTTAAAACCAATCAGACATGTACCAGGTCAGAAGTTAAAACAAGACTCTCTGTCTAACAGTTAGCATAGTGCTTTTCTACAGCTAACTACCACAACAAAGGCTTGACTTGAGACTTGGCTTGGTTAAGGATAATACATGTTCCTTCCTTCCCCCTGCCTTGAAAAGCTTATTTCCACCCCAGTATACAAATTTCTGGGAGACATGCTTATGACTCCAGCAGGGAAAATCTATCATTTTCAAGAAATGAAGGATTTAATATATAAATATACATCTTAACTCCAATAACAATCTCTCCAGTGTGTTTCCCAAATGTCTTGATAACACTTTTTATGATACAAACATGAAAAGCATTAACAGCTTTTTATTTCCAATCAGCTTTTTATTTCCTCTGACTACAAATATTCCTCTTGGCATAATTCAGAGCAAGGTCATCCTATACTACTGTTTGACAAGCTCCCAACAAACATTCCTGATGTAACAGCTGACAACACATGATGTAAGCCCCCATCAAGTGCCAAGGGAAACCCTAACATCTGCATAAGCTTGCTTTTAGAATTGGACATGAAACATACTATAAATTAGCACTTAGTCACTTCTGCATTGGTCATCTCAGCAGAAAAGGACCCTACATGAAAGCCTGTTGAAAAACACAGCAGCAAAACAAAAGGCAACATGGCAACTCTAGTTAGTGCACTTCAAAGAACAGTATCTTCTTTTTTTTTTAAGCATGATAGGTACAAAATCAAACCTAAAATCAAGAATAAAGCAGAAGAATATTAAAGTTATATTCTGTTCATTTATTCTTCTTTGGTAATCTTTACTGTCTACGTAAAGCATTTTACATAAGGGCAGTTTCACAGTCCTGTGGCCTACTGTCGAGTTACTCAGGTACCTTCCTGCTGACAAAGTCAGAGCAGGTACTGAAGTTAGTCGTGTAAGCACAGATCAAGCACCTCAGGTACACAAACAGCAGCACTCTTTCCACACCACAACAGCTGCATCATCTGCTTTTAAACTTATGCTGCAATTCCTCCCCTCTGCCTTTTCCCAAGAATAGTCATATCCAAAACCCAACACCACACTCACTGTGGAAGCACTCCACTCCTGAAGGCAAGTGGAAGGATTTGCCTTCAGCATAGAGACTTACCAGTATAAGTATGCACTGTAATCACACTAGGACATTTCCCTTAAATACACAAACAAACCCCTCTTCCTTTGGAAGCAGAGCACATGTGACTTGTACGAACAGGGATGTTGGTGTAAACTATCACTGTCCCTTAACCTGCTTTCTCAGCTCAGCTCCTCCTCTGCAGGAGGCTGTCTCTGAAGTCTGCCAGCAGACTTGTTCCCTGAAGGCTCCCTAGCCTGTTTCAGTCAGGTTTTCACGTTCCTTCAGCTAACCCAAGCCATTTTGACTGAATCAGGTTAGAAAACATTGATAGGAGTAGCTCTACAAAGAGTGACCAGGGAATAACAAACAGTTAAGTGCATCTTTCATCATCTCAGATGGATATGAATCCCATGAAATATCTGATCAGTCAAGGACATTCAAAGAGCTACAGATTCACACCAGCAGTATAACTACACTACTTAGGTTCCTCCAGCCACAAGAATCCTTGAACATTACATTTCAAGCAAATTTGGGGCCCACACTAGGGTAAGCATGTATTTCAAGACTAGTAAGAACTATCCCTCTAACTCAATCTGGTTAAAGTTTCTCCAAGTCTCTCTCATTCCTGCAGCTTAAGAATAAATAAATCAGGTATAAAACCACAAATGCTGTAAAGGAAGAGTGACAGTAGAGAAGGGGGATGTCAAAGATGTACATTACAAAGACGTAATTGAATATGTAAGCCTAATTTTTTTTAATTCAAATATATAGTGTCTGGGAAAGTTGTATCAACTAGAAGTGTCAAGAAGCACAAAAAAGGTGCAACTTCTGAGAAAAGTTTTTGGTTGCTATGAGAGCAAGATAGTTTGTAACATTATATCCAACAGTAGCTCCAAGAGAATTTCATGACAAAGTTTGTTCAGGTGAAGACTACACAAACTGGACCTTCAGAATTTCCCCCCCTCACATCTTTTAAGCATCACCACAAAGTATCAACAAGGCAATACCAACAGTATTCCCAACACCCACATGCAAAAATTGCCATTTTAATGGTTAAGCAGTCATACAATAAGGTTTAAATGCTGTTCATAACTTGCCTTGTACCAACAATTGAACAAAACCAGACCTGCCATATTATACACTAACATTCCTGCAATAGAAAGGATAAAGGATGAAGTTTCAGGCAGCATTCCTAGACTAAGCTCATGTCAGAGAGTCACTACTGCTCTGTTGAATTGTCTTTTTAGAGAAACATGGTTTAAACCTAGAATGAAACATGTTGGCAAAGTGGATTTTGGCATATATGATTCTGCTGGAGATTCAAAACTTCTCACTTGAGAATGAGGAAAGCTTACAAATGTGGGGGCTTTTTGGTACAACAGAAATGCATTTAAAAAATAGTACTGCTAAATAGTAATCTTTAGAATTAACAATCACCAAATCTGCATGTGTCCATGTCAAGCATTGGTTTAACAACCATTGAGTTTAACAGACTCTTCATAGAAGTTTCTCTAAAAAGAAGAACCTTAACTGCTAAAATTAAGCTAATTCAGATATTTTCAAAAGCACAGCAGTGCAGTCTGAAAAGCAACAATGCATGTCAACAGCAGATTTCAGGTTTTCTTTGGCCTTAGACTAAGCTTGCCATTTACATTTGAAAGATGATTTCTCCATATTATTGGTTTCTGTAAATCTGTGAGGAAACTTGAGTTTTGCATTACAGACAGCATTCTACTAGAAGTTTTCTGAACCAAGGATTACAGAGTGATTAATGCAGTGGTCTGTAAGCCAGAGTCTTATTTTCTCCCTGTGTTTTTAAAATCTGTGTCTATCTCGACATAGCAGTGTTCTGAAGGCCAGCGTGCTAAGTCATGGATGAGGTTTTGATGACAAGAATTATGTTTCAATTAATTTCTACTGAATGCGTTGTCAGATTTCTAGGAACTCAGTTCTCACTGAATTGCTATTTCCAGAGCCAAAGTGTCTAAAACTGTCTAAAGAGACATCCTTCAAGTCTGCAGAACACCCAGTGATACAGAAAAGGCTTCTCTCCGTATGTTGTCAGTGCTCCCACTTCTCATTATTCGCACACTTAGCACCCTCAAAAATACTAATTAAGTAAAACCAAGATGTTTTAGACAGTGAAAATCACACATTTACACAGCAGCCACTGTGAACTTTATTAAGAAAAGAAGTTTGCCAGTTAAACTGTGATGACTTTATTGACTTCTCCACTAGTAGAAAAACAGTTCTCTCATAATGGCTCTGGAAATCATTTATTGCCAAGTAAATGCTGAATTCCCAGCAATGTATGGTCTGTTTGGAACTCTGGCAGTCTTACCATGAAAGGGCTATATTCACCTTTGCAAAATGCAAAGTAAGCAACACATCTTTTGTTCAAGCAACAAAGTCATTCTTGAGGCAGATGCCATGCTAGCCAAATAGCAAAGCCACCTTTACATTAAGCAATCTTTTCTATCATGACGGTTCCACAAAATGAAGTGTAATTTGTGAGGAAAACAATTCATAAGACACCAGTAAAATGCTCTCTTTATGTAAAGAGATGTTCTCTTTATGTGTAGTCAAGTCTTATTTCTCAGGCAGGAGAGGCTGAGCTAAAATGAGACAGTATGATGATCTATCTTCATGAAAATGTCCTGTTGCTAATGCCTCTGCTTTTGCCTCCTTTCCTCTTTATTAGTCCTGTGAAGTCCTATGCATTAGAAGTCAGAACGAGGTTTCTTCATTCATCTGGAATCAGATTTATATCCAATCCTCTAAGTGACTCACAATGCTGTCTACACACATTTCTGAAAAGTAGTTCTCCATTCCTAAGTAATCCAACCATCGCGAAAGATATTTTCCAATTTCTTCAACTCTAGAAGTTGTTTTAATTCCTTTTTCATCTTCATCTTGTAGCCACGTAGCAGAATAGCATTGTCATGGTCTATGTATAGTAGGATTTAATCCTTATTAATAACTTCAGTAGATTGCCCGAGGATTTTTAGTACTGTAGTAGGCTTCACATGCAGCTACATAAGCAGATTCTGGGAAGAAATCATCATGGTATTCTGCTAAAAACCTGAGAAGAAAGCACACCAAAAAAAGGAACAGAACATGAAACATTTAAGAGAAATGTTATTTTCAAATTAATTTTTAAGCTCAGCAAAACCACACCCTGGGAATTAAGAATTATTACACTTTGAAATTTGGCATACAAAAGACCTGCCCTATTTTTTACAAGTTTTACATAGTGAGAAATAGCCTTTCCCTATCAATTAAAAGAAATTCAAAAGCTGAAGCTACACTCAGAAAAAGAATCTCAAGAACTATCACAGAAGGAAAAAAGAAGTTAAAGAGATCTTTCTGCAACTGCTGTAAATTACCTGCTCAGCATACTATTTTCATTTGTGTCGCAAACAGTATTTTCAGTTATCATGTCAGTATCTTATACAAATGGCCAGGAACCATTAAGTCAAGTTGTATCTTTTAAGGTAAGTAAAGCTATGATTTCATGTTTCATGTGCCTGTGCATTTAAGGTCTCTATCTTTCAGGAGTATCTGATTTAAATATGGTTCTCAAAGACAAAACACATGCTTTGCAAACCCAGTTCCTTATTTTCCTATTTCTGCAACATGGTCTTAAAGTATTATTCAAACAGCTAAGCACCCAATATTTTATGATGTCTTCCTGCTCTTCTAATACACAACTGTTTCCTTGCTTAGGACTGAAAATGAGAATAAACAGTGCTACTACTAGCACTAGTAACAAACATGACTATAAGCTTTCTGCTCCTTCCTTTGTAATCAAAGACACTGGGTATATAAGTGGGGGCAAAAGGGCAAAACAGTTCTTAAACTCAAGACTACAATCAAGCTGCACTTCAGAAAAAAAACCCACAGACCTTCAAAAATACCTGGATATTAAAGATCAGCATCAATAAACATGGCAAACTGTTAGCTACAGGTTCTCTGAGCTAAGAGGAGGAAGCAATAGAAATGACAGGAAACAATGTCATTTGCATGATCTGGGTTTTCTCAAGAAACAGTGGCTAGGGTGATGACTTCAGTTTTGCAGAACCAATACTCTGGACACAGAAAGTCCAAACCAAAAAAAACAATGTTTCTCCAACTTCACTCACTGCTACACTGCCTGAATTCTTTGATCTTAACAGAGCAAAAGCATCAAAGAATACTGGCAAAACTCTTTATATAAACCAATTTAAATTTAATAAGGAGTATATTAATTGTTCAGAGCTCACAGCAAATGGTGACAGCATAAAATTGCAGATAAGCAAAAAAAGGTTGATTTTTCCCACACACCTCCAATCCTTGTACTTAAACATGGGTATCAAACAAGTGCTAAACTGGAGGAATAACTATATCCCACTAAGTCTAGAAAAAGCAGTGAGAAATACAAGCTTTTTTAGCTTGTATACAATCCTTTAGCATGCCATCATTAATTCAGATGGCATGCTGTCAACTTCCTCCATACTCGCTTATTTCATAGGAGCTCTGTAATTAAGAGTATACAGGGGGGCCTAGAATGGTTTCCGATGTAAAATGTTTCAAACCACTACAAAAGAGTACTGAAATAAGGGCAATTTAGAAGCTAATAAAATACCTGAATCATCAACTGCTGTGACCTCTGACTTGAGCTACTAATCGTTTTCTGCGATACAAGGGGTTTGTGTGAACTGAGTGTGGTAAGGACTAAAATGTAACAGAGTTGCACCTAACATGCTTAGAAAACACAAGATTAAGATGAGCTACAAGTGGTATTTAATTAATAATTCTTCATTAACACAAGTTGATGACTCCAACTGATTATAGGGGCTGATGAAAATCTTAGTGTCTTTGGATAACATTCAGTAAAACAGAGTACTAAGAGCTGGATCATACTAGGGAACATGTTTTAAAAGAACACTAAAACAAAGGAACCTTCAGAGGGGGCATTGGTTAGCTGACAGTTCCAAGAATTCTAACAGCAAGTAATGGGAAACAAGCTCATTTTCTCTTACAAATTTCCTGACTTTTGCTTAAGATCAGTCATACATGCCAGTTTGGTGCATACTGAAGTGACAGCTGGTAGACATGAGAAACGTTAACTGAGATGCTGTGCCACAGTTACAGCTCAAAAAAAAAAAAAAAAAGGCAGGCAGAATGCACGCAGTCAAATGTACATCTCCCTGTTCTCTATGGAACAGTTGTGAAAAACAAAATACCCCGGAGCTAGCAAACAAATTATTTTCTGCAGAGAAGTGGGAGAAAACTGCCAAAAGAAACACATGGTCAGCTTCTGTCCCAATCCCTTCTATATCTGTACACAAAGAGCAGGGCCCTTCTGAAGCTGTTTTCTATTCAAACTACATCACAGTGCAGAACGCTGGCACAGAAATATTAGGAGTCTCCTAAGACTCTTAGCTAGTGGATATTTCACTAATGCTTTGCTCTTGGACAAGCTAAAATAGCTTCAGGATCAACTACAATGGTACCTCTAAGTCATGAGCCAAGATTTAAAGACAGAGGGAGCTGTACTTAGCAGGCAAAACCAATGTTCAGCTATAGATCAGAAAGCACATTGCTATTGAGTTACTCAGAAACTGTTTCATTACTTTTAACTCACAAAGCTGATCAATTCAGTCACCTGTTGCATTATTGCCTTTTTCACTTTTATGCTTTTTATAGAGCTCATATGCATACATCTACATAGTTGATGTATGAAACTGCTTATGAGTAACCAAGTTCTGAGATGCACAGTCCACACTGATGCAAGATTGCACATTTTTTTCATCATGAGCATCCTCAAAAAGAAAACTTATGCTTTACACTCATGCTTAGAACATAGGAGTAACATGGTACAATGCAGCTATTTCCCTCCCTACCACAGGTAGAGGCAATACTTCTCAAAGGACTTGAGGGAATGGAGACAAGGGAAACAAGATATGTTGGCAACTTAACTTGAAGAATTCCTATGTTCTGATTTTCAAGCATGGGAGTCTGTAAGCAAGTTTACCTCAGGTGACTCCAAGCAATAGCCTCACAAATATACTACCACCTGACTTTGAGTTATACAAGCAGATCTAACAAAAGAGGCACAGAATTATCACTGTCCACATCAGAAGGCCACTTGACACATGTCAGGAACATTTATCAACACAAGTCAGTGAATTAACATGAGCTTTAACAGTGTCACCTTTTAACAAAAAGGGCCTTGTCTTGACAGCGTCAACACAACTTATTACCAGAACAGTCTCTGCATGAAGAAAAAAATTTCTACTCAACATCAGCTATTATCACATGAATAAACTGCAGGGACAGCCCAAAAAGCGTGAAAATGACAATGAAAGGAAAACTTTAATTTTTAGAAAGACAACCTCAGCCATTAAGATATAAGAATACGGAGTCCAAAGGAAAAGCTCCCAGGAAGGTGACATCTTAAACACTTCTGCTACAGAGTTCGAGAAGGTAAGCAGATGCTTTGAAGAGATCAGTGGCCTGAGAGAGGTGCTGTTTGAAAGGTAACTGTAATGATCTATCTAAAGGAATTTGCTGAGAGCATTATGGATCCTAACTCTATGAGTCACCTCATCAAAAGAAATGTCATTTACAGACTAAGAAGTTATCTCCCCAGTTCATAGGCCTATCTCCATCTGGAAGGCTGTTCAGAGCAAAAGATCCTCAACAAAAACTCCATCATAACACCATTGCCCTTGGCCTTTTAAGGGAGAGGGCAGAGAACTCTGAAGATGCCATGCTGTCAACACAGCATTTCCAGTAATCAGGCTGAGTAACCATTAAAAGTGGTAACTTCTAGTACCACTTTTGGGAAAATAGCCCTACAAGAGCTCAATACGGGAGTCCTTGGTTTGTCTTGAGGATGAAGACCCACTTGTAGTAAGGCCAGATCCCTAGAGCTGCGTTCTAAAAAGCTACTGTAGCACATTTAAAGTATTTTGGGCAACCTCTCAGTTTAGACGTGTGATCCAAACCTCAGCCATTGACCAGCAGTATGCTCACTCGAGTACCCAAACACTCATGGTTTGATAAGCAGAAGGAAGAGAAGCAATCCACATGGTGAGTTTCAGCAAGTATTTTTGGCAAAGCAACCAAAGCTTATTGTTCTTTAGTCAAGAACAATAAGCACAGATGAGCATATTCTGCAGACCAAGCAAACAAAAGCCCTCTGAAAATAAGAACCTGTATGATACCAGGTACTCACTGACAAAGCATTCAACATCAAGGTGCCAAAAGTTTGAGAGGACCTAAAATGGCAATTACCTTTCTACCCATTCAATGCATATAGCAAAGTCCAAATAAATGATAGTAATGCCCTGAAATAAGGCACTGTGCAAACAGAATTACTTCAAAATGTTTCAAAACTTTTAAAAGAATATTCCTTTATATGTCTGTGCCCTCTAAACCCACACCTCAATTTATACTCGAAAACTCATAAGTTCTATAGTATATCATAACTGCTATGTTGCACAGATACTTTTTGCCAAGTAACTGGTTAATCCCAAAAACTGAAAGACCAAAAAAACTCTAATATGTTCAATAATATGGATCAATTAATAATCAATATAACAAACACTGGCATAATTGCATTCTTTATGATCTATCAGAAAGTGATTTTTAGTTAGTTATCATCTTGCAACTTTATTAAGCCACAATGAATCACAATGAGCAGGAATTCTGTCACAAAGCAACTTGACCTAACTAAAGATGTTTTCTCTTCTATTCACCATGTGCAGTGCTTCATTTTTTCATTCTCAGACACTAATAACCTCTCATTAATTGTACATTAGCACAGACTAGTGGTGATAATTCACCACTGCACATATACAATTACTACACCCAAAATGTGCTGTCAGAACCAGAGTTCTGTTTCTTAAGGTTACTTGAAACAAGTTGTCATCTTTCTATACATACATTTTATTATTACAGTTCTCTAATTTGGTCACAGTCTCATTTGGCTTTCTTCTCAGAAAGTGCTCAACAGTATCAAAACACTTTTCTACCCATGGAGCAGAGTGGTACAATAGATACAAGCAGATTGTAAAGCATCAGGGAAAAAGAAAAGAGATCTAAGCTTACAGGAAATATTTAGTTTGAAATACCTGGGAGTATTTCAAAACTAAAGACAAATTGCAAAACTAGAGAGCATTAAGAAATTAGTTCTCCATAATGCGAAAGAATACATGTTGGCCTCATCTGAAAACTATGTATTAGAAGCAATATTTTAGAAATATTTCATCACTTATTCTTTTGCATTTCATGAAAGTCAAAATACCTGTCTTTCTGAAGTGCTGTACACTTAGCTTTGCCTTTTTTTCTACAATACAGTCCTGAAATTATCTCGGTGAAGATGGGTCTTGCTATTGTAAAAACAGACATGCTGTGTCTAATGTCTCCTAATTTTTAAGTAGTTCCTGTTGGACAACAGTCCTGAGAAGTGACTTCTCTGATTCCAAAACAGTTTTCCAAGTCAAGGTTGTGTTCAAATCAATGGGAACAGCAAAGCAGAAACTGGCACCTTCTTGCCTATTATTTCTCATCACTGAAGCAGCCTCTGGAGCCATGCTAGGCACCTCACAGTAAAGAGAAATCATAAAATACAGCCCATACAGCATTTTATTTTAAAAATAGCTGAAATAATAGAACTAGTTAAAAGATAATACCTTCTCTACTCAAAAACTATTAACAGGCAGGAAGATTTAATCAGGAGTCCTTCACTACTGGAATACCAGTAAGCAAGCACCAGTTATTCTGTGAGCTTCCATTGCTTGCTCCTCAAGACTAAACTCAAACTAAGTGAAATTCGGTGAAACCACCTCGTGACTGTCATTAAAGTCTACTTCAGACTGCAAGTACCATGAATTATTTCCAAACTAAATAATTTAAGACTCATAATTTTGTACTTAATTTGAGAAATTGATTTTCTTTACATCTGCAAATTCTATACTTGAGAAATCAACTTCCACGTTCTCCTTGAAGAAATTTTCATTATGCACACTTGTAGAAAGCTGCACTAAGCACAAAGGGTACAGCTTCTACTTAACAAGAAAGTCAAAAAGATGCATTTCATACATTCCTCAAAAATATAGGTTGTCTGGGAAACTGAGAACAATCTTGTCTCGCAGCAGTCTGAGGGCATGACTGGAAAATATTATCCATGTAGCATCTCAAAGAAAATTTAATGCCTCTATCAAGTACTAAGTAAACTCAATAAAACAAGCTTCCAGACAAAGTATTAAATAAGTCTCAGTTCCTCAGACATTAATAGTATAAATGCTAAATGAAACCGTAAATTTTAGTCATAAAATTATAATTCAAAATTAAATCAGTATCTATGCAAGAACTAAATCAGTTGTCTACTACATGGAAGTTTTATTTAAAAATATATAAACTGCTTATGCTTGGACTACTCTACCTAGACTTCAAAGAAGATTCAGAAGCAGTTTTATTAATGTAACCAGACACATTGATCCTTTGTCTGCTACTAGAAAAATAAAGAAATAGAGAGTACTTCAGCTTGTCACTCAAGAGCAATCCACTAAAAAAAAAAAAATTAAGTGGTCTGCAAGTAAATTGGCTGCTATCATCTAATGCATACAGATCTTTTAGGGCAGTTCTTATCCTTTGAAAAGTAAGCCAGAATAGAACTGATATAAAGTATTTATAATAAACATCCATTAATTCATTCCCAAAAAGGAAAAGACAGAATCTGAAAACTGAAGAACTAGTATAAGCTGTCACCTCAACCTCAACTTTTCTCTTGTAATTAGAAATAGATAATGCAGAATTATTTCTGTGATAAAAATCAAGCATAAACGAGTTCCTAGAAAACGTAATTGTTTGACCACTTTCAATGACACATGGGACAGAAATATATACCCAAATGAAAGACATGTTAAAGTACCATGAATATGTGTTGAGGAAAAAAAAAATCTAATAATCTGCATGGTTTCTGTGCTACCTATTTGAATACACAGCATAACTAATAAGGAAACTAGACTAAGAAGAGTATTTATGACAAAGCTACCCAAGACCAAGTGCTGCCTACAGAAGTAACTGTAACTTGGAAGCTTTTTTGGCACTGTCAAAAAAGAAAGCACTTGAAAAAACTAAGAGCCTTCAAATATTTTGCTGTAGCAGATATGCTTGCCTGGAGGGGCCATTTTGCTTTAGTTGTAGTCTGGTCTTGGGGACTGAAGAACATTTAAGTGTTTTCTACAAGGAATGCAGCTTGTGTACTCTGAGCACTCCACATCCCAACACAAAGCCTGGTAAATGGGAACTACCAAAAGATTTGCTTCAAAAGCACAGTTCTATCTCACCTAAAAATGCCGACGTGATTTATTGCTATTTAGAGATGAATTTGCATTTCAATGAGATGGTCAGATGGAAAAATAAGACAGACACAGATACTACCACCAGAACTTTCAGTTTAGCCACCTCCCTACCTGTATAGGGAGTAGGGGAAATGTTTCTCCTTTCCTCTATTCTATTCCAGTACAGCTCATCCATAGAATGGGTATGAAAACACTGCATTAAGGATGTTAAAAAGCAGAGACCTGCTGTGGTCAACACAGAAGAATCTGAACAGGCAAAGGTCTGATAAAAACTGATCTGATCCACAGTGAGTTAAGTTCCCTAAGAAATATTCACTCCAAAACCAGGTTTCCAATAACGAGCTCTACTTTTGTCCTGTTTGACTTTAGGGTACTTTGAATGCCAACAAGGATCTGATAAAAGAGAGAGTTGCAACACTTAACAGCTAAATGCTTCCAGGGAAAAATTTTGTATTGTAGAAACTTTGACATTTGAGGCATCTTATTTTCGATAAACAATTTAAGTAAAAGCATATTTAAGCTTTCATCTCTCTGATCTCTAATAGGACTTTTATTTATGCTAGAGTAATGTCATGTTACTTTTCCATACGTGGCTACTAAAGTCATTGACCAAAAATTAAGTTACAATTTCAACATTTGTTCCAAATGTTTACCATTTACAAAACTTTCTTGGCAATTTCATTTTCCACTGTATTGATGTTACACAGCACAGTGCCACACTAGGTATCTATCACCTCACTGTCATGCATAGATACTAACTACAGCACCTGGTAAAAATAAAAGCTGATCATGGTGCAGGTATGAGCTTACTGACTCCAGCTGTGGAGCTCGTGTGTTCAGATCGTTTGGGTATCTCTAAAAACCACTGCACTACATCACAGAGAAACCTTGCTGTTCAAAGCTCAATTCAGACAGATATTTCTTTTAAAAAATCGACCATAATTAAAAACCTGCTTTAAAGCACAAGTTTTCTTCCCCTGCTTATGCCACTGTAAGTCAAAACTCCCAAGATTATGCTCTCAAAAAAATAACAATGTAGACTTTGAATTTCTTCATAAACATGGTTCTTAACCAAGACTTGTCATTCTATATATAGTAACAAACTTTCCAACTTCAGTTCTCTGTCATTGTATTTCTCAAAATTTTAAGTAGGAAATTCAGGCTCCCTTCAATCTGAGTCACAGAATAGAAAAATCTTATATTAATCTTTACTCAAGTTGTTATCGTTAAAATTTTATATTAATTTTATCATATTCTTGTAGTAATGGAAAACTAACATCTTATTTTAAATCCTCTTTGTCATTCCAAGACATTTCAATCTATGTAACAATGGAAACATTGCTGTGGTACATTGTGTCACCTTACCTCAGAAACATTTCAAAGTGTTTTACTAAAGCCTTTAGGTTTTTGTCAGGAAAGCACATCTTCCCCAATATTTCTGGTAGCTTTACTGTAAATAAAAGAAATAATGTTTACACCTGTTCTTGTAAAAGCAACTTTTAATTACTTTTATCCAGTATAAAGAAAGGAATATAAAAATTTCTTCTCCCCACAGACCCCACTTTTCCTTGCAAGCTACTCATTGACCTTTCAAAGCCTTACTAAACAGGAACATGCTGAGAAAGTGAATGCTGCTTGGTTTAATGATGTTTGATAGCACACACTGGAAGTAACACTGCTTTGCTTTTCTTAAATGAAGGCTTACAGAGTCAGTAAAAGATAACCAAATCTATGAGTAGCCTAGGAGTTCTAAATAGATTAAAATGTACATTTAGCAAAGAATAAAATTTAATGTGATAAAGCAAACAGAAAAGTCACAAAGGTATAAGCAACAGAAAAAAAAAATAAAGCAACTTTGATTGAGCAGAGAGTTTTTCATCAGTTTACCAAACATCCGCAGCAAATGTTGAGATCCATAGATATATGAAGGAGGTGGTGGTTGATCACTTGGTGGATAATTCTCTGGCATCAATTTCCAGGACAAAACCTAAACATGAAACGTGAGGACATTGGTTATTAAATCTTTATAGCATCATAAATAATTTAGTCTGTACAGAACTTCAAATGCAAAGATAAGCAATACCAACAAAATCTTTTTTTGCATAGCCCTACTCCGAGGTCCACAAAACCCTTAATTATGGAATCTAGGGTAGTAACATTAAAATCAGTTACCTCATTCAGTTCATTGTTTCTTCTACCTTCAAAGCCAGTAAAAACTGTGCTCCCTTCTTTGCTAGGAGTCAAAGTTATTGGTGAAGATGACCCGCTATGGACAGGGGTTTCTTCAAAAAGGAAGAAAAAAACAAAACAAATGAAATCAGAAATAAATTGTATTGTTTTGTGAAACTATAAGCCATTAAACTGAACTAAGGTCTGCTGCTAAAATGTTTGAAGTCTTAAATACTGAAATTCAATAAAAGTTATCCTAAAATAGGCTTTCAGAAATGCAGCTCATTGAATACTGTGGAACAATACAGTACCAGAGTACTGAGAATATTGCATTATATTTCTCTCTTTGGTAATAAAGCCTCAGAGATAAATAATTGATACAAAAAGTAATGAATTCCCACTTCAATCACACAACTCACAGTCCACACAGCGTTAAAAAAAGAACAGAACTTTACACTTTGTTTAGACCAACAATTTGAAGAGCAAAAGCTACTTTTTTCCAGGTGCAAGAAGAGCTTAGGCATAGAAGCCGGGGTCTCGAGATGACGTCTCTTAGGCTGTGGGGAAGCGCTGCTTTCCGACAGCCTGTCGCAGTTGGAGCTGTGGCGAGTGGAACGTCTCAGCGACTGCAGGATTTCAGGCTCAGCTTTCCGCCTTTTCGGCGTGGCCGGCTCCCCTGTGGTGGGCTGGCTGTCCGTTGACTGAGGCGTGGGCGGATTCAGTAGAGGAGGACTTGGGGAAAGTTCCTCCTGATTTCTAGGAAATTAAGGCAGCTTTACAGAACTGAAGAGATGAGGGCTCCCCCCACAAAAGAAATTCTTACAGTTTCACACATCTTGTTAAACACTTATTCAGATGAGACAGTCTCCTCCCAATAACTATTAAAGTGATGAGGCCTTCTGTTAAATACTATTTTCCAGAAGTATACTTGTTTTCAAATAAAAGTTAAAACCCACAAATATGACATTCTTCTACATTTTACTGAGGAGATGAGCAGTATTAAACTCCTTATATCCAACCTACCTGTTGGTATTTGTTGAGTTTTCTTTGATAGGAAGAAAGAATTTTGATGAGGTCACCTTCTTAAACTGAGCTTGTTCATAAGGATAGAGCAAAATTAATGGAAGTGTGAAGTCAAAGGTTATTCTCAGCCCATCCACCATCTCTTTACATAACTCAACACTAGAGGGGAAAACAAATATAAAAAGTTGCATGTCAAAAATTTTCAGCATAGTTGTACAAAACTGCCCTTTAATATGGACCATTAATATCATAACTACAATATGCTGATTTAATCACTAAGTAATAAGTGATTAAAAGCATACTTAAAAAGACAGTGATTGCTCTCATTACTTAGAGTTACAAATTTTTAAAAAGTCTGCTTCATAACCTCAAAAAACCTACCCAATTTTTCTATTGTATTATTGGATTAATGAAATCTACTGTAGAGTAAACAAAGTTAGTCAGATGTTTTTCATGTAGCATTATTTTGTTTTTCCAAGTTTACTAGGCTGAAAACAGAGGCACAGAAAAAGGAAGTACTCAACAGACTGAATCTCGGTCTAACAGGAATATGAAGAATTTGATCTATAGCTGCTAAGATGCAGTTAAGGTTGTGCTTAAGAGATATCCAGTCAACCAACAAAACCAGATAAATTTCCATTGGACATCAGCCTCCAATGGTCTGCTCCAGTAATCAAACACTACATTTAGAGGCTACTAGGAATTTCAGTTTTCGGCTTGTGTAAAAGACTCACAATGTTAGGTGGTGCTGTTACAGAAGAAAAAGAACACCAAGTGCAGCCCACCTGCAACACCTCTCACCTCTATGAAGGTATTCCACTCTCATGTTTCAAGTGCATATATGTGTAGGGTGATAGAAATTTGATTCTGCCAAAATGACCCATGCTAGAAATTCCAAACCTTATTACCATTTCATACCAGCTGCTAAAACTACTGCCTTTGGTTTTTTTAAATACTACATTTAAATTGGGTTGGGGGACCAGCATGTGCAGAAATTATACTAGATCCAATAAGGTCAATAACCTTCAGTGTTAGAGCAGTAAGGGCAACATAATAAAACCATCAGTTGAACCTCTCCTACTTAATGGATCACTAAAACTATACACATTTGGAGAAGTTCCTTAAACATGCACCTTTAAAAATTATTATGTGTGTACAACCTTCTGTTCATATTTCTGATACTTCTTCTAACTTTTTGTTTGGGAGATTATACTACAACGGAAAGCTATTAATCTGTCAAAGAATGAACGGCATCAACATAAACCTAGACACTCATATAGACCCAAGTATTTCAAGGAATAGTGTAATTACACACCACTGAGATAGAACATTGTAACACAAGTCAAGATCACTCTTAGATAAAATACAAGACTGCAGACTTACATAAAGAAGCAGTCTCATCTAACACCAAGAATCTTTAACATGAGAGGAAAAAAAACAACCAAACAAAAAACACCACACTGCAAACATGGAGGGTTAATTTGTAGTATGGTAAAAGAATATAGAGCTCAGCTGAGAAAACAGAAACTAAGACACAATTAATTTTAACAAACAGGATTGGTGTTACTACCCACAGTTTCCCTACATATTGACTCTAGGATTTAAGATCATATGTCAACTGAAAAAAAAAACCCAACCGGCACTTGGAGTTCTTTAGAAGTGTTTGTATTAATTCTTCATCCTTTATAAAACTGGAACCTGTTCAGTTTTATTTAACCAGGATATTCTCATATCAGATATGAAATTTTTCACATTGACAACAGCAACACATTCTTCCAAACGAGTCACAATATTTACAAAAACTTACATGATAAACCAGGATATTGATACTTTTGCATAATGACTTTTCAGAATATAGGGACACTCACTGATAAACAGTCAGCGTTACTGTACTACAGGTATCTGTCAAATACCTTAAGCCTTATAAACAGACATTCATCATGGTATAAGCTCACAGAAGTGAACAGCCATAAAACAGAACGGTCATTCTTGTGACAATAGCACTGGACTAAACGTTACTTACTTCTTCTCTGGCGGCACATAATGAAGATTCATATTAGCATGTGGAGTCATCTGATGGTGCCGAGACCTTTCATTGGCTGAAAAAGCGGCATTAATAGCAAAATGTTTCACATATGACTCCAGGATGGTTATTATATTTGTCTGACAAGGAAGCTTCACTAGCTAAAAAGAAACCATAAATTAATGTCTTATAAAAACAGTTAGTAAGCATACCAAATTAAAACAGGAGCTTGTAATGTACCAACTAATTCAGTAAATGTCTAGTTCATGAAGCTATTTCAGCTTTTCAGCTATTAATTTCAACCCTTTAACCGAATTTTTGATCAAACAAAAAACATGGTCAGGTTAACAAGCTTGCTGCATTTCCATCTTTAAAACCAATCTGCATTCTAAAAATACAGTTGGGTACTGAAACACTACACTTAAATATGACAAGTCACTGTTTTAACTATAGAGAAGTCTGCTACAATATTGGTATTCTTCCTTATATTGTCTTAAGCTCACCTTTACCATGAAATTAAAAAAAACAGAACTTGTATACACAAAAACTACTTTTGATATCTTCCTCACCCTCCCATGAACATTCATTTCACAACTTTTATTTCATACCCTTTTTCTTCTGTTAATATAATAACAGTCTTCCTCAAGCTTCTTTTTCAAGACTTCAGGAATTTCTATGCTTATTGCTCTTTCTTCCATGTCCCTTTTTGTATGAGTGTCCTGTTCTTCTTTCTACAACAGACCAGTGCAAGAAACAATATATTGTTTGTGCTCACAAATATTAGTGAAAAAAGAACTTCAGTAGTCAGGATGCAATATAAAAATCAATTTTTCTCACACAAAAATAAAATTTTATTATTTATGGAATAAATATTTAAGTGGATAATAGCCTTACTGTAAGCTATTTAACAATACTGGTTTTGAAAGCATCTGCACATTCATTTCTTAAAACTTTTTTTTTTTAAATTTAGCATTCTCTTAAGTATTTAACAAACAAACAAACAACAAAAAAAACCCAACACAAAAAAACCCCACCAAAAACCCCAAAACCAAACCAGAAATCAGTTAGGTTTTGCTGCTTCAGATCACCCTCCCTGTACTACTTAGATTCCACACACCTTCAGAACAACTGTAGAAAAATAAATGTTTTTTCTTGAAGTCAGTCCTCTACGTCTTAATTTAAGACCAGGGCTGATGTCACAGTAAAACACACAAGGAACCTGCTGCTATTAGGAATTGTCCAACCTGCACAGATCAGTAAATTTTTACAGCACCCACAAAACTGGAAAATGTAGTCTCTTACATTTTCTCCACATAAGCCTCATGTGTAGGAAGAAGGGAAAAGAAACAAATTTGTATTTTTAGATTAATATCAAATAACTCTACAAGAATATGACATACTGCATAATTTTTGAAATCTCAACAACAGTAGAGACCAGGAGTAAAAAAATTATGGTTTTATTTCCAACTAAATTACCACCTGTGGCCTATATTTCATCTACTTCACTTTTTCCAGATTTTCAAGTACAGATTTTTAAATTCTATTAACTTAGGGAGCTCATGAATATACCATTTCTGTCCTCTCGTCTATGTCACTTTCTTCACTTTTTATTTCTTCATCTGTTCCTTCATCGCTGTCATCAGAAGAAGAACTACTTATAGCTGCAGAAAAGAGATTTCACATATTTATCTCACGTTATTGCATTGCAGAGGTTATGACCAAACAATTTCAGGCCCCAATGGAAAACAAAAAAAAAAAAAAGAACAAAACACCAAGCTACCAAAAAACCACAACTAGTTTGTTATATTTAATGAGGATTAATAATTCTAATTGAATTAAACACACAAGTATTATTTACAGCACACTATAAACATCTTAAATATGTAAGATGAGTTTATAGGAAGTATTCTTGCATCCTCTCTAAAAACAGTCACTTTTAAAAGCTCCCTACATTCCTGAACGCGCAGAGATCTTCTCAATTTTCATTGGTCTTTAATTCTGAACAGGGAATTAACACATTAATCATTCAATCAAAAGGTCTGGATCTGTGCAGTGACAGTTTCCAGAACATCAGTTAAGTGCCAGTCAGTGTTCCTGCTAGCTTTCTAGTTACAAAGAAAACTGCAGGAAATTAAAGATCTCTCTTGAAAGTGAAAATCAGCCAGATCTTTGTGCCAGGTAGACTAGGGAAAAAAATAATCTTATTGCCTCCTTCTTCATATAACTGTCTCTGTGTATTTCAGATAGGACAATGATACTCTTACATCATCCTGACAGCAAGTTACAGGATGCACTGCTCCCCAGGTCAAGAAGCTACCAGCAGTTACCAAAGGATGAAAATAAGCTCACAGTTTTCACTGCTCTCATCATTTTCTTCAGCAGGAAGGCTTTTTAACACAGAGTCAACACCAGGCAACCTGCAACGTCTCTTCTTTCTTCCCTTTCTTCTCCTGCAGAATATAAAATGGTTCACTGAAATTTGGCTAATACTTAATTTGTTTACCCTAGCTAATTCAACTACATGCAAATGCACAGGAAACATGTTTCAGTTATTTTCATTTATTAATGCTGAAATAATTTGGGCAATGCTTATTTGAGAGTGGACACCTTAATATCTGCACAGTAGCTCATATTCATGTTCTCAAGCAGATCCTCAAGCCGTGGCCAATCAATATTAGATTATTGCTTTTGGCTGAAAAACACTTCATGTTTTCCCAAATTATTTTGCAAGTACATTTCTTTGGGAAGATCTAGATCCAATATACAAGTATTTTGCACAATAGTTAAGAATAACATAGTTATTAAGTGTTAGTCTTTTGGAGTGGTGCTTAAGAACAATACATAGATATCTGCTTCAGCATGAGAAGAGTAGCTCTCTACAATGCACTGACTGTACTGAGTACATATCTACCATCTACAGCATGAGCTAAGGCCAAGCTCACTTGTAGACTTGTATCTGTTTGAATTTGAAAATTAATTTCTCATTCATTTTGAGGCCAAAAGGATTTCTTACATGCGAGCCACAGCCTTCCGAGCCAATTTACGCTGTAATCTGCGGTTTTCGTCTGTATCACGAAGAACATGATCTTCAGCTGCCCATCTATCCCAGCTAAGGATAAGCAGAAAGAAAATTAACAATGACTATGAACATGTGCTATTCATGATTACTAATGAATTAATATACATTAAATCTACAAAGCACTCTTTTAATGTCATTAAGAAGCAACATCTGTATCACGAGGTTTGCGTTCTTCTGCATTCACGTGGCTTCAACTCTTGTTGCTGCCTAAAACCTCTCGAGCTTTGACTTGACATGCAAGAGCGTTTGTAACACCAACACATGCTATCGATCACAGTCAGACGCTGCACTCACGTACTGGCCTTGATAACCAAACAATCCAAGTCTAGATTTAACAAAGCATAAACTTTTATTAATGGAAACCTAGGAGCCACAAGTATATGTCGCAGACAGATATCCCATGAAGTTTAAACTCATGGCTATCAAACTGACTCACTGAAATTTATGGATACAGATCAATGTGTCAACATGAGCAAGTATACTAAAGGCATTTACAAAACCAAAGATACTCCTGAAAACAGCAGTCCTTTGATATTCAGTGCAATGCCTGTCTTTGCAGAATAAAACAGAAGAAATGGGAGAACTGAAACAAGACATACAGGTTCTTACCTTCTGTTCCAACCGTTAAAATGGATCAGATATTCTGGAATCTTTCTGCCTTTCTCATCTTTCCCAACAACAATATCAACAATCTGAAACAAACATTGTATAGTATGTATTAAAAAGCGTGAGAGAAAGTAACCCTTCCAGTATTTAGAGAGTTTATGCACAAACAAAGAAAATTAAATTAAACAGACTTCTTATTATTTTGCCAGTTAACACTGACATGAGCAGAAGATATGGATTATACTAAACGGTCAGAAAAACTAGCTTTCTTGTTGAGTACTGTTAACACTGGGGGCTGCTCACCATCTTTGTCCTGTCCTCAAATATCCCATGCTTTCAAGACAAAGAGTGATGTCAACCAATGCAGTAGCACAATATGAATATGCAGATTTGGGCTGCTAATGTTTTCTCCTGTGTGCTGTCTCAAGCCCACAAAGCAGGAGAAAACACTTCTCTATATATAAACCCCAGAAGTGCTGCCCTGTTGAACACCACAGAATCTCAGCCACAAAACATTAAAATGCTTTGTGAGTATCTGAGCCTTTGTTTTCTTTCTCTTTCATGCATGTGAAACAGGCCAGTCTGAAAGAGCCTGCACCTCCGAAGGAAAAGACAGATCTAGTGGATCAATAAGAAAAGCATTGGTAATAGTAATAACAAAGGAATTGTGCAGCCTGCACTTGAGTAGCTCTCAGTAGATCATGTATCAGCAGTTAGGTTACAGTGATGTTTTAATTTAAAAACATGTGTGATGTTTAATTTGGGAATCCAGAATTTAAGAACTATTGATGGATTCAAGGACAGTTATGCTATTTAGGGTATTTGAAAGTGAGGAAGAAAAGGCACTACACAGTTTTGCACTCAGGATACCTCTGTGGATAGCAACTAAAGCTGCTGGGGTTGTCAGAACATGAGAATATGTGTACAAACAAAAGGACAGCCCAAAATATTACAGGATGGTGGTGTTCCTAATCAAAAGTGTATGAGAAACACAGACCTATGCACCTAGCAAACTTCCAGCAAAAACTACTGATTTGGTCAAGAATTCAGTTGCAATACTTTCCTTTTCATCCCTTTCTGTAACAAACAAAACAATCAAACAAAAAAACAACCAAACCAAACCAAAACAAAAACCCTCTGTTTGCAAGTTGGGTGGAGATGATTTAGGACTGCAAAATAATCTTGTATTTACATAAAGCTCTGTAATTACTATTACTACTCTTAAGGTCAGGCCTTACTGAATCAGTCACTTCCTACTCCAACACTTAAGATCCACCGCGCACTGCTTGCTGTGGTATTTCCGTATACTCTCTGCACCAGCGGTACCACTTAAACCCTTCTGAAAGGCAGAAGGGCAGCAAGCGTGGGAAAGCGCGAGGGGGAATAAATCTATCTACGCTACGCAACTGCGGGGATGAAAATCAGATTTCAGAATTACTTTGCAGGTGTTCAGCACAGAATAGAAGGCGGGAAGCGCTTCCGACACTCCCAGAAATCCTGGGCGGCTCCGCTCTACCTGTGGCGCCAGCCAGGCCCCGAGGGCCCGGGCCCCATCGCCTGTCACCCGCCTCTGCTCCCCAGCGCTCCGGGAAAGGCCCAGAGGCTCCTACACGGCTGCTACGCGCTCCCCTCGCCCCCGGGGCTCCCTGTGCGAAGGGACAGAGCTGAGTCTCGCCAGGGGACGGGCCTGAGCAGCCCGCAGGGAGCGATGACGAGGGGAGAGGCCCGGCGGGGCTGGCACCGCCTCGCTTCGCCTCCCTGCCCCGTGCTGGCGGGCGGCCCCCACCCCGCGACCTCTCCGCCTTCTGCCCGCTCCCCGGGCCAGCGCCCGTTTCCCACAACAAGTGCTGCTGCTGGCGGAGCCGCCTCCGAATCCCCGGTCGGGCCCGCAGCCTTTTCCCTCCCGCGCCGCCTCCCGCCCGGGAGCGCGCGCAGCGCCCGGCGGGAGCGGTAACGGGAGAGCGGGAGCGGTAACGGGAGCAGGCGGGCCGCGCGCCGGCCCCGCCCCGCGCGCCCGGGGACGAGGGGGACGGGCCGGAGGGGGGACAGGGGCACGCGCGGCCGGTCACCTTGGCATCATAGAGCACTTTGGCTTTGGTGGGGTCGGGCTCGAAGCAGAGAACTCTCTCTCCCCGGTGGAACTTAAATTTCATTCCCCGCGAGGTCATTTGTTCATCATGGCGCAAAGGAGAAGAGCCCCGCCCGCTCCCGCGGGGAGGTGCTGCTGCCGGCGCGGCCCCGCCCCCGGCTCCTTCAGCAGGGGCGGGTGGGGCAGAGCAAGTCGAGGTGCTGTGCACTGGTACCCCAGCTGTCCTCGGTGGAGTCGTGCTCGGCCCCGGGCGGGATGAGCTGCCCACCTGTGCCCACCCCGCTGGTCCCGCGAGGTGCGCGGCACGGGCGGCTGGGACCGGGCGCGGGAGGGGCGGCGGCCGGAGGACGGGTCCCTCCGAGCGAGAGGGCGGCCGCCTGCCCTGGGCCGGGAGAGCCCGAGCAGGCGGAGGCGAGAGCGCCCGGGCGCGGTTTTGCCGGCCCTGCTGGCGGAGCCCCAGTGCCCCCGGGCAGGGCCTTGCACTAGGCCTGTGCCCGCCTGCGGGGCTGGATGCACCCTGAGAAAAACGGGGTATCCTTTCTGCTACTGCTGCCCCTCACCAGACATTCCCAGTCCTTACCCTGTTTCCCGTGTTCTCTGCTCAGCAAAGAACAGCCCCTACTCCCAAGTGGGCTATGCATTTAATGTAACCTCCTGCAAGATTTGTTTTCCTTTCCATTGTTCCTTCATTGTTCTTCCTTCAAGAAAATAAGCTCGAAATAAGTAGGCTGTTGCCTTAGAGTTTGATTTATCTTTCCAATGTTCAATTTGAGATTCCACGAGCATGCAAATAGTGGAAATAAAACCAATACACAGCTTTCTTACCAGTGCACTGATGCCTGGAAGGGACTCAGCCAGAGGAACACTGCAGTTTCCCACAGGATGTTAGTTATTAGGTGCTTCCTCAGGCTATTACAGTTTTGATGCCAGTTCTGCATTTCTGATTTACACAAGACCACAACAGAGCTGAGAGGCCTGGGCTTAGCCAGCCTGATAGAAAGACCAGTTAATTTGTGATTATTTAGCATTTTTGAAGTTGCCTTTCTGTTAAAGCTGTTCAGGAGGTGGATTACTCTACACAGAGAAAGGCAATCCTGCAATGGAGCATACAGTAGTCCAGTGCTAAGGGGAAGAGAACTTTAAATCATCTTTTTTTTTTCCAGTAACAAAACTGGAAACTGGCAGGAATGCCTTGGGAAAGAACAGAGATCTGCTAGGGTATTACCAGAAGGTTTCTGAAGGTAAAAAGTGATACGGGGTGCCCAGAAAACAAGACTCTGAGAGGGTAGGTATCCTTGGGATAGGATGGACCAAGTACTCAATTTCTTTTGATTCAAAACTTACATGTTTTTTATAGTGGGGGTAGTGGGAAAAATCTGCAAACTTGCTGCTAAGAGAGAGTGGAGTGAGAGAAGCCAATTGATGGAAAAGAGTGAGAGAAAATTAAGGAAGTGTTCTGACATCGTTCAGAGCCCACTGCTGCTAAGGTTAACAAACAGGCTCCAAAAATGCATGTATTCAATGTCAATTGCAGAAAGTGTCACTGAAATTCTCTTTTTTTTTTTTTAAGATAAAGCAAATGTTGTTGGACACTTGTAGAATAAAGCTGCTTCCAAGGGACTACCATACTTTTAAAAATGGGGGAAAACAACAACAACAACAAAACAAGGGAAGGAGAACCATCAACCTGTGCTTGTGTCCCTGCCTCCAACCTGGTCTTAAGAGTACTCACACCACTCCTGCACAAACAGCCTTACATATTTCCACACTGCCTCCTAGATTCCCATTTTTCTTCCTCCCCACTGGTGTCTACTTGCAGACTCTGCTTCTCGTTCATCTCACCTCAGCCTCTCCTACTTCACCCCAGCCCACTTTCACGGCTCCCACCCAAGCTACTCCTCAAGCCTTTTGACTCAAATTTCTTATTTGGGTTTCCTAACACTTATATACAGATCTCTGCCATAGGATTTGAGATCCAGTTGTTCCCTGCCTGTCCTCTCCCAGTTCCCACACTCAGATAGGTGCACATGTGCATCTGTCCTTATCTCCCTGAGCCACCTGGCTGTAGATGATCCTTGCCAGATCTCCCACCAAAGCTCCTCCTCCTCCTCTAGCAGGACTTTTAAAAACCTGTATGTGGGCTGTGCTTAAATTTAAGATCCACCCAGAGGGAACCCAGACAGGAGAGACTGCTGGTGTGTTTATGAAAAACTCGCCCTGGGATAGTGCTATGCAGGCAATGCCTAGCTCTAGATAAAATGCAGAATGTGGATTTTTCAAAGGTACTGTGTTCTTCATAGCAAGGGCTGACAAATGGCTGAGAAAAACTAAAAAAAAAAAAAAAAAAAAAAAGGAAAATAGTGTTTGTGTGTGTGCATGTACGTACTGCCCATGCAATGCCTGTGATGAGTTGTGCCTCAATCGTATGCAGCAAGTGTGCTCCAAGGGGAAGTTGCAGACAATGGAGCCATATCTGGCACAGTGTTTGGGATAAACGTCCCAAGTGAGATATACCAGTGGCAGGGCTTGTTGAATACTGCTGAATCAGGAGATGAGCTGACCCAGCATGTATTTTGAGGACATTCCCAGGACACTGCATTGCCTCCAGCAAATAAAAGAGCTTTTACAGCTCCTCTGGGAGACAGTGGCTTGGGAGAGGAGCCCCCTGGCCTGCTGCCAAGCAACCCCTGGCAAAGCACACCCAACGAGATCATGAGGGCTAATTCGGTAGAATGAGAAACTATTTCGACTGCTCGCCTCACTGCAGGCTCAAAGCACACTCTGAGAGAGTTTTATTCAAGAACGGGTTTTATTTGCAACAACGCAACCCCCGCTGTTCGCTGACGGGGAGCAACATGGCGGCGGCTCGCAGGGCCCGCTGGGAGCTGTAGTCCGACGGGGGGCTGGGGGCTGGGGACGCTCCCTCGCCCCGCAGGGAAGGGGAGTCAGGGTCTCCTAAAGAGGAGGATTTCCTTCCTCGTCCCTTTCTGCACAGCGCTCTGGGGAACACCGAGGCTCAGGCTGTCCGGATAAGAGGGGTGCCCGCGTCGGCAGGCGGGCCAGTACCTGCCCACCGTTCTGTGCAGAGCTTTCCCTGCCCCGGTGCGCGTAACCCTAGTTTTACCCCCGTTTGCTGTTACCAGGCATCTAGTTATACACTTGCAGCCCAAAAAGAAAGGTGGCAGCACTCTAAAGACATACCCAGTTACTCTGGCAAGATGTAATATGCATAGCTGGGTTGGTTGCCCTTGTTTGCCCCCTCCCTGATTTCCATTATTTTGCCTGGGATCGGTGTTAGAGTGGCAGGTGTGTATTTACCTGGGTCACCTGAGCTGGCCCGGTGCTCAGCCCGCACACGCTGGAGGGGAAAGCACGTCAGCTGAGGGCAGCAGAGACAAGTGGTGCTTCTAAGAACTCCAGTGTTATTATACTTATAAATCCTGGTGAAACTTCAACTTACACTTGAGAGAGTAAGAGACTTTAAGTTATACTTAAGTAATCCATAAATTATTTTATCCCTGCAATGAGTTTTTCTTTAAAATCCCTCCTTCATTCTTTCAGGACGGAAAAGGCGAGCAGAAACTTTTCAGCATTCTGAGGGTATTTTGACTTTAAGAGGTTCTCATCACATTGCTGAGATTGGAATCCCTTAAAACTGTATAACTTGCTTCCTAAACTTTTATTCAACAGCCATCTTCTGAGTGTTCTCTTGTATGTTTTGTGTGTTAGGAAACAAAATTATTTGTTTTGGCGTTGATCAAGGCAAGATGATACATTATTTCTGGCAGAGTGATATTCTCTTTTACCCACTCATTTTTCACAAGTAGTTTTAGTATTAGGATCATGGATATTTTCCCCTTAATGTTATAGGACACTCAGAGGAAACAGAGGACATCTACAGTGAGCAGAGGAGGAGGCAGTTAAAATCCAAGCACAGCTCATGAGAAAGAGACAATAATTGTTCAAAGAATATTGTACTGCATAACAATCTTGCTGGATTGCAGCACAGAGAACACAACTTCCGTGTGTGTGGCTGCACATTTAATGAAGCAATAACCCAGCTGTTCTCTTTCTGAAGTTAATAAAAAATAGCTTGAAAACCAACATAATGCTATCCTTGATTTTTTGAGGTGATCCTCAAAAAGCTCAAAGCTCCTTTAATAAGGAGAACATACTTCTTCAGTATCTCTGAACTATATATAGAGTTATATAGAAATACTAAACTATTTGCTGAATTTTATTAAGGCAAACCTTGTTCATTTCAAATCTAAAGTTAGTCCCTGGTGTTTACACTCATTTCTGCTGTTTACATTGGCTTCATAAACCTTCAGTATAAACAGAAAAAAGAAGTAAGAATGTTTCCCATGAAACAGTTCAAGAAAATCCTGACATCACTTAAATAAAGCATGCTTTCTGCTTCAACATAATTAAATTGTGAGATGTTAAAAATAAAAACAAAGAGAAGAAAAAAACCCACCCCAATTTACTGTAAAGCTACAGACATCTCTGGGATAAAAAGGGGCTACATATGGGGAGATTATCATTACCTATGAAGGACATTCCTCCTGATGTTCTTGTTTGGGTGTCTCTTTCAAACTCAGAGGTTTCAGCCAAAGCAGTTGTTCCTAGGGACAAAACTAACATTTGTTCTGCATGAGGAAAAAAGATCAAAATAATCTTTGCTTAAGACCCTCAAGGATTTCAGCAGGCTGGTGGCCTTAGCGTCACAGGTGTGCCTTCTGCCATCCCTGCGAAGGTAAAATCAGATTCTTGCAACTGGGCTACATTTTTAACACCAAATAAAAGAAGTCAAGGACTGCGTTTTGGCCAAGTGCCAAGACTTGGCCTGGTCCACTTTACAAAGCAATTGCTTCCCTTCCATGGACCTAAGACACAATCATTAGTACGTTTGTGCTTTTTTTGTTGGCTCCTTCTTTTCCTAAAAAAAAAAAAAAAAGAAGAAGAGAGTTATTGGACTGATGTTTTCATAGTATGAAGCTGAGAATATATATGCTATGCCCTGAAGGACCTGAGGGCAGTGAAAAAAAGGTGATGCTGGGCACAGAGAGGCGAAAACAGGGAGGCTGATGTGGCATTTGCCTGGTGTGTGCTGCCCGCCAGAATGGGCTGCACACACACCATCTCCTGGTCTGGACTCTGTCTGGGACAGTGCCAGCTGACATGAGCCAAACTTTTTCCAGGAGTTAAGCATAATGGGCAATTAGCAGCTTAAGCTCATTTCCAGGCCCTGTTTTTTCTAGTGCTCTAGTCATAGCTTTAGAGTACTTCAGGCAAAAAACATTATACTTCATCTGACCAGTAGAGATCTCTTTAATTTTAGAAGGTCTCAGGCCAGAGTTCCTTGAAAAAGCTCAAGAAGTTTCTGCTGCTGGCTGTTTTCTCTCCCACCACCACCAGCTGTCCTGGCACAGCTGTGTGCACATCAAGGAGCCTGATCTGAATATGAGTTGAGTCTTTATAGTTGTAGCAAAATTGAGCAGAAGTTTGGGC